GAAAAGTCAGGGAATTTGAAACAAAAGCGTGTCAATCCTGAATACATTAAATAGAAAATAATGAATTTTCTGACTTCAGTAATATTAATAACAATTCATGAATAAATAATGTTGATTTACACTTTTTAATGAAACTTTAGTTTATATTGATAATAAATGACATGTGTATTAATATTGTTGAAGCAAGTTAAATGGTAAAAATAGCACAATAATAAAGAATCGAATCCTATCTTTATTCACATCTCATGCATAATATACTATATATTATAGGCTATATAAAAGTACTTGCAAAGAAATAGAAAGTTTCCCTTTATTAGAATAAGTTTCTTTATGCTTCTTCTTCTTCTTCTTCTTCTTCTTCTTCTTCTTCTTCTTCTTCTTCTTCTTCTTCTTCTTCTATACATATATATGATTAGAATAAGTTGAACGCATGTAATTATTTGCTTATGTCTACAAAGTTTTAAGGGTAGAAATGTCTGTTAAACCTTGGTTATATTTACGAAATTGTAGTTAGTTATAGTAAATTTGTTCATTGATTAAATTATTAATGGGGATCAAATAAACGGAACTAGAGAATTTTACGTTATGAATAAAAACATTTTTTTTAATTTTGACGTACATTAATAAGTTTATAATTATTTTAAAGACATTAATTTTTCTTTAAATTAGTTTGATGCAATAAAAACTTTTGAAAATGGTTAATTTTTTAAATAATTTTAAAAAAAGAGGCCGGTGTAAATGCACGATTTCTTAGTTACGGTGACAAAAAAGTTTGCGGGCAACTTTATATAGTATTAGAGAACTTCCAGTGAGATATTTCTTTGATAGTATACAAGAAAGTTTTCTGTGAAATATAAAATCGATTCGTTAAAAACTTTGTCTATGCTACAAAAGTTTTAAGAAAGCGCGGTTAGCTCTCTATCAGATATTCCGTGCATGAAAAATATAATCAACTTTCAACAACTTTTATAATTACAAATTTTATCTTTGTTACTAAATGTTGCATTTCTTTTTAAATTAAAGATACCACTTTTTTTTAAAGCAAAATTTCAGCTTTTTTCTGTAGTAAAATAAAAATTTTAGCTAAGGAGATACAGTTTCAGGGCATATATGATTAATTATGTTATATAAAACCGTTTAGGAATTATAGTCGTTCAAAAGATGGCTGGGCACCTTGGGGCACCTATTATTAATTGCATTTTGAATGTTTTTCTTAAAACGCTATGCTATTGAAAATGTTAAATTGAAATTGCTTAACTGTTATGGTTACATATATAGCTGTATAATATTTATGTTAGAAGAACATGATTAGAGGAGTATGATTTAAGAAGAAAAGATTTCTATAAAAAATAAAAATACACAATATTGAAAAATATGTAGTTGTATCCGAGGTGTATAAACTGTTGAAGAATTCTGTTCCATATACATATTTTTACTTTTTTTATACACCTTTTAAAGACTGAACCTTCAAGGTGATTTGGCAATAAATATGTGTGTATTTGTTTTCTGCTGTTCTTAATATCACGCAGTTGTCTCACTTTTCAATTAGTTTAATTGGTTATATTTGCTGACCATCAACACGCAATATCCCGTGACAATGATTCACAGATCTGAACGTTGATCTTGAATTTCTTATTTCTTTACGCAACTTTCAAGTTCTTTAATCCATGCCCAGTTTATTTCGTATAATACATATAAATTTATATTGGTGATTTCTCTCATAGTACCAATTTTTTACTTTGACTTTTCAATTATTCTTTTTTTCGCGAACCTGCTTAACCCGGTTTATTTAAATTTATATTATATTTGTTGGAAGTGCAACGATGTTTTCAGAAATAGTATTAGTAGAAATTTGGAAAGAACTTATAACAAACTTTTGGGTACAAAACTTAGGTATGAAAAGTAAGTCTAAGGTACGTTAGTCTTTGCCTGACTACAGACGCGAACAGACCTAATGTCCATTCGGGGGAGTGCACAAGAATCCTCTCTATGAATGTACACATGTTTTTCCATTTCACGGAATATATAACATAAAATATATTGTGTTTAATTAACTGTCTACTTTATTTTAACTTCCTGAATATACATTCCCTGTGATAGGGACCTTTCAACAAACAGTTCTTTAATCATAAGAAAAATCCACAACCAAGAATTTTTATTTTTGCGAAGTACTTTATTATTTTATCAAAATTAAAATTTATTTTTCTGAAATTACTACCCAAATTTCATTCTTTTGTTTTAACGTTCTTAGTAAATTGAAGGAAAGCTGTCCAATTTATTGCGAGCATAAAAACTCATTTTCATGAGTAATAAAAAAACTTCACAAAGCTTTTAATACTACCAAAAAGTTGGATAAAATTAATAGAATAAAGGGAAGAAAATATTTGTTTCCATATATTAAATAAATTATTTATATTAGAATCCTTTTTGAATGTAAGTTGTTTTCTTTTTAATTTAAGTTTATCATGCAATTAGATATATTTAAAAAGTTAATTTTTACTTTGGTGAAGTTTACAACGTTCATAATCAACGATGAGGGATTAATTAAATGAAGGGAAATTGATATAAAATGAGACAATTTTTTTGAAAAATAAAATCATCTAAAAACTGGTTTGGAATTTTTCACTATATTATAAGCCAAAACAATGAATGATTGATAAAACCATTTTTATGACATGAGATTAAATTAAGTTAAAGAAGAAAGCGGTTAATTATAAAAGTTGCGCTTCTATTAAAGAGTTGACACATAATCTGGTTTACTAATTTCCTTTGTGTGGTTTTGAAGGAGTTTGCAGTCAACAGTTCAGTTAAAGCCAGTCGCTACTAGTTACTCGCTCGATTATAAACTTACAATTCGAAAGTCTAGTAAACAATTGAGTCCAAAGCGCACTTACCTAATATTTTATTTATAAGTAAAAAAAAATTTACCCACTTTCATGAATGACCAGACATACAATAACAATAAAATATTAGTTCAAATAACAATTCCAGTGTTGTTCCATCCAGATTGTGACGTGCAGTGAATTACTTTCTGTCTGTTAATTTTTAAATGTTCCGATAAAATAGTTTTAAGCCATAGTGTCTGCCATCAATTAGAATTCTTCTAACTTGAATGTAAATTCTAAAATTGTGATTAATTAGTGAGATTTTTGTAATTCTTGCACTCAAGTGAATTGCATACGTAGCGAATAGTGATAGTTCTAAACATTGCGGACTCAACATTCCACGTGATACTAAACTAGGGTTTGAAGGTTTGAAGATTGTTTTCAATAGATTCCAATCGTTTTTTTAGGGCTTGCACATTATTTTTAAAAATATCTCTAGTTCTATAAGAGCTAAAGAGATAAAAAAAATTTAAAACGTTAATCTCATTCGGTGGCACAATATGAATAGTCTAATAAAATCTTTTAATTACATGTGTTGAAAAATTTAAATAAATTCTACAAATACAAATACAAATTCTACACGAGTTAATTTATTGAAATGCTTCATTTTGTTCCCACGAGAAAGTTTATCTACAGCCTGTTAAATAGAAAAATAATTCTAATAACTATGTCTTAAGTTTTAATTGTTTTCAATTGAAGTGTTGTGTCGAAACACATAGTAGAAGAGCTCGAAAGGCGATGATTCAAAATTTGATTAATTTGTGAATGGAAAGTAGTTTTAATGATAGAGACAAATAATTCTATTAATTTTAATTCAAACAAAAGGACTACCATACTTTTTCCCCCTCGCATATCTTTTTTAATTTACTATTTTAAAAATTAAATCTCAAAGTTGGCATTGCGGACAATGCCTTTCTGAAATAAAGAATTGTTTTTAAAGATATCTGAACAATGCAAAACATTTTCTTATTCTTCAACAACTCACTTCTACAGATGGTTCTCTAATGAAAACTTTTATTGTTACTTTTATTCAAGAACAGACGTTTTTTTGCTATCGAATACTCTTATAACGAGGCCAGTAAACATAATTAGTTTGCTCTTCTTCTGCTTATATGACTTGCGGCACCGCCAACTGTCAGAACTATTAATTACTTTGTTATTTCCTCTATTTTTGCAAATAAAAGTCGAATTACTGTATTACTTTCATTTACTCGACTTATAAACTTCTAAACAGTTTACAAGATTATAAAGTTTACATTTCCGTCAAACAATAAAGGAATACTAAAGTTAATAACTTTCAATTTTTTCACGTGTATATAAGAAATAACAAAAAATAGTTGTGGAAAGTAATTAGCCAGTATAAGTATACTAATCGTGAGAATTAGATGAAGAATAAATAAAATAGTTTCATTTATTTTTAGTTTTTGTAAACAACATAGAATACCCCTTGAAATTTATATAAATTGTATTTGTCTTGAAAGTGTTGATACTTGACAAACAAGTACAATAAGTAACAATTTATAATCATGAGGGTGGATTTAGCACTTAAAAAGATCCCATGGAGTTTTAATCAAGTGTTTATATTAGGAGATTCGACGCATTCATCTGGATCAAGAGACACTTTCAGTGAAGTCGAGTAATAATCATTATATTAAGGGTGCTTTCGCTCTGATAAATTCGTCAATGTTTTTCTCAGCACACTTGACTTATATTATTACTTACATAATTAAACGTATTATTTACACAAAACCTAGTTTATAGAGCGATTCATCGCAACTTTATGAAAATACCCTCTAATTTTTTTGAATAAACGTACAATTACAAAAATAACACTCACTACTCTTATTAGTCAAGAAAAAGTTATTAGAAAAATACTAGGTTTTAATACTTACAGTTCGCCAATTTTATTGTTGGAACCAGAGAAGCAAGATCTTAAATATTATAATGTTAGATTATGTTTTTTAAGATTATGCTTTTTGGGTCCCTCTATTATCGACGTGTCACAAATATTCACTGCTGATTGGCAATTAATTAAATTTTGCTAAAAAATCAAAATAATATGAAGAACAATTGATTGTAATAATTAATTAATTAATTACTTTGAATTAATTGCAGTAGCAAACAGGACGGCGGAAATACAATCGCAGAGTCTTCTCCACATGTGGACATCGCCATCCCGACTCAGACTCGGTCGAGCTCCTAGGAAAAAGTAAGCCGGTTACCAGTAAAAAGAAACCGCCGCAATGAACAATAAACCCGAAGAGAAAACACTCGGTAACCGGAGGAAACTCTCCTTCCTTGGTTTCGGAACCAGAAGTTCGGTAAGTTCAATAAATTTTCTCTTATCAAAAACTTATTTTATTCAACTCAGGCTGGACACTTTATCTACCTGTACAGGCGCATACTAAGTTCCTCCTTATATCCCAGCGGTCAATAAAGTGCCCATTATTGCCCTAGGGTAATAATGGGTGCTTTATTGCCCTAGGGCAATAATAGGCACTTTATTGATCGCTCACAACCCTTGTTGCATAATGCACTATTCATGATTTTCATTCAAATAATAAATGTGCCTTTTTATAAAATAATATTTGTTTGTCTTTCAAATATATTTTATTATATAAAAAGTATCTATATGAAACAAGGTCTGCAAATAAATTTTTATCTTTTACAAGTTTTCATTACATTGTTTATACAATAAACTGAATATGATTCGCTTATTCCATTAAGTCAGTGGCGAAACTTATTTGAAAATTGAGCATCAAGTTTTAACCGCACGATTCTAACAATATTTGCCGCTTGTGGTTTTCATTTTTCTGTAATATGTAACTTTATATTATTATTAATAAACTTCTAGCTAATACAAACTCTTCTATGTATATTGTGGTTCCTCATATGGAAACAGTGTAATACCAAAAAATTTTAAATTAATTTTTAACCTTTTTCACCTCAGGAACCCAAGAATCATGTTTTCTAATTTCCTTGTGAATTTTGACAGTAAAACAATATTTTGACACCTATTTTTTCCTCAAATTTCGACTTTTTAGGACACACTTTGACCAATTATGAAACATTCTGTTTTTGTGCTAACTAAATAGTTATTTGCATTTTAAAAATTGAAAATTTTGGAAAAAGATTCTGTACCGTGTTTTTTATTTTTAAATTAATTAATATTGTGGTATACTGTTCGAAATCACCCTCGTTTACTGTATATATGAAACTTTAATTTAAAAATTCTACCTACATTGCTTTTTGTAGAATAAAAGCACATTTTATGCTATTTATTCTTAGAGCACTTTATAATTCAAAGAATAAAAATATAAACGAAAAAAGAAAAAAATTTTATTATTAACTCTGACCCTATATTAAGAAAAATCAATAGGAGTTTGTTTTAGAACTTGCGTCTTCTATAGTTAGCTAGCCAATGATAAACTCAAAGTCCACAAAATATTCAGAATATGGCGCATAATTTATATTTTCGTGTTGGAATGAGAAAATTTTTTATTCATATTAACGCGTTTTTGTTTTAAACATTATTCCAGTTGACGGTAAAAGTTTCTTAAAGAGATATAACAGTTGAGTCATAATATGTCAACATTTTCTGTAATGTTTCTCACAAAATACTAGATAAATTGTATTAAACGTTTGTAAACAGAATCGAAACATTATATAATAATGGTCTCTGACAAATAGAGAGATTTAATATTTACTTTAAAAAAACAAATATTTGAAGGTGAAGATTCCTGAAGTAGTCTCGTGATTCGCACCTTAGACTGTAAAAAGAAAATTCTAAATTAGAGTCGGAGGCGCATGATTATTCCCCAAATGTCATTTGACCAAACTGTCATTTTACCGAATTGCAATTTATTCGAATTGTTATTTTAACGAAATGTCACTTTTGCGAATTGACATTTTTACGAATTGCCACTTTTGCGAAAAGTCATTTTTGCGAAATATCATTTTTACGAATTGTCATTTTTACGAATCGTTATTGTTCTAAAATGTCATTTTTTCGAATTGTCATTTTTACTAAATGGCACTTTTGTGAATCGCCATTTTTACCAATTGTCACTTTTGCGAACTGACATTTCTTCGAATTGTCATTTTTACGAAATGTCATTTTTGCGAATCGCCATTTTTTCGAATTGTCATTTTTACGAAATGTCATTTTTGCGAATCGCCATTTTTATGAATTGTCACTTTTGCGAAAATTCATTTTTTCGGATTGTCATTTAAACGGAACTGACATTGAATTTTCGTAAAAGTGACAATTCGTAAAAAAGGCGATTAACAAAAATAACTTTTCGCAAAAGTGACAATTCGTAAAAATGGTGATTCACAAAAGTGACATTTCGTAAAAATGACAATTCGAAAAAGTGGCAATTCGTAAAAATGGCGATACGCAAAAGTGACATTTCGTAAAATGACAATTCGAAAAAATGACATTTCGAAAAAATAACTTTTCAAATATTAAAAATAATGCACATCTAGTGATTTTTTAATGGATACATAAGTTACTGAGGAATTTAAGACACTTATAATCTCTAAAAAAAAATTGTGAGTTACAAGCCATTTCAATGCATGTCTGCACAATGTTAAATGGCTATTGACTCGTGTCCGACAGCAATCAAAGCAATCGGTTTGCGAGGTCGCCTCACATCTTCAGGGTGTCTACTAACCGGGAATTCCGGGAAAACCGGGAAATAACCGGGAATTTTATTTGACCGGGAAAAACCGGGAATTAGCCGGGAATTTTATACCGAACCGGGAATTTTTTCACAAAAATTAAAAAAGTTTTATTATTTTAATTTGTTTTTAAAAAATCAATTTTTATTTCAATTTTTATAGATATTTATACTGTTCTCTAAATTTAAGTTACTTAAAAATAATTAATTTGATGATAAAAAATCAGTTACCAATTCAAATATATTATGTAAATAAATTTTAAAAAAATTATGGAGTTAATAGAAATATTGTGAAATTCGACTGAAAATATGTAATTAAATTTGTTAAAGAAATTCATTAGAAACTTTTTAACAAATAGAATTTTCAAAGTATTTTAATTTAATAATTGATTAATAATTGAATATTATAAAGAGTAAAATTCTAATGTATTCATGTTTCTTACTGCGAAGATTAATAATTAAAATTTTTATTAGTTAATTTAAAAAAATATACATACTTAAAATTGTTTAATGAAATTGAACTTTCGCAAAATTTTTTTTAAATCTAAAAAATAAAATTGTTGTAATTTTTCAATTCTATTGTTTCAAGATAATTGAATTTTTCTAAACAAATCATTGAAATTTTTTTACTTTTTTTGAGAAATAATTGAATTTTTTTAAAGAATTTTATTTAAATTTTTCGAAAATAATCAAGGGAAGTTAGTGACCATAATTATAATTTTATTTTTAAAATTTTAAGTCCCTCTTACAGTTTTAAATCAATTTTTTGCTTCTAAAAATTATACTATTCTATTATTTTATTTTATTTTATTTTCATGTATCAACGGGCTTACAAAATATAAAACGCCCTTTCGTACAAAGTACTAATATAAGAAAAAGAAAAAAAAAAAAAAGAATATTAATTACAATGAATAATTAATTATTTGATTACGCTGCGTAATATTCAAATAATAAGTTGCGCAGGGCAGTGGTAAAACGTAGAGTTGAATTTTCGAAAAAATTTAGATCATGTGCACTTTCATTAGCCTCACGACATATACGTTCGAAAACATTATTATCACCATACTCTGTTCTATGATATTTAACTTTGAAAAGAAGAAAATTACGTGATGGTTTGTAAGGCACAGAGAAATTTATTTTACATAAAATATCCGGACAATTAATCATTCCATTTATAATTTTAAAAAGAAACATTAAATCCGAGTACAGAAATCTGGATGAAATTGTCGGGATCTTCAATTGCCTCCTTACGTCATCATATTCATGTGAAAAAAAATCATAGGTAATATCGAGTTGCTTAGCAGCGAAGCGCAAAAACCTATTTTGTATTCGCTCCAATCTCCAATTATTATTTAATAATTATAATTATTGAACTTCTCTTAAATTTTTATCATTTTAAATTTCTGAATGTTCAAATAAATGATATTTATTTATTTCTTGAGCAAATTAAATGTTTATTACATATTAAGTAAATAATTAATTATTGCTGCTTATTATTTTCAAAAATTTTAATAAAATTCTTCACAAAAATTAAATTATTTTCATAAATAATAGCATTCTTTAGAAGGATTCAATTATTTTTATAAATAGTAAAATTCTTTGCAGAAGTTCAATTATTATCAATGTAATTTTAATAAAATTGAAAAATCCAATTTTCAATTATAATTATAAAGAGACAAGATTATTTTTAAAAACTTGAAAAAATTCTTTGTTTAATTCAAGTATTTTACAAGTTTTTAATTAAAATTATTGAAAAAAACATTATTTTCAGAAAATTTAATGATTTATTTATGTTTAAAATCAAATTTAAATTTACATTTGATAAGAAAAAAAACCGGGAAAAAATTAGGATATAGCCGGGAAAAACCGGGAAATAACCGGGAATTTTGTTAAACGAAAATAGTAGACACCCTGCATCTTGAATTCATTTCACACATGAAATGTCGCATCGCATCGTCTCTTAGCAGACACCAGAGATGAGAAATTTACAAAACTTATTTGGTTGGAAGTTGCGATAAAAACTCGATTTTCAATTTGCATTGAGAGTATAATTCTATGTTTAATAATAATAATTTTAGAAATAAAAATACATACTAGAATTCAAAAATTTACTTCTGATTATTTGATAATCAATTAATTTACTAATTTACTAGTAAAAAATTTTTGTTTTTGAAATGTTGAAGAGTTCGGTTTATCCAAAAAATATGTTTCTTTTTTCTGGAATGCATTTATTGACTTAATCATTTATCCTCTAAACTAATGATACTAATAAAAATCAATAAATAAAAATACACGTGCTACTGGTTTGAATTACAAATTTCTGACTGGTTTAAATCGAAACGGCTTGATAATCCTTTAATTTTCTTAGTTTCAATTTTATGACTATGGTTGGTATTTTTTCTCAAAATTATAATTTGATTTTGTGGAAAAATTTTATTATGAAAATGATTGTTCACAAGCTTGTTGTGAATTTGTGATTCTTTAAGATTGTATAAGATTCAAACATTCTTATTTTTGATGACTGAATGGCTGTCAGTCCTTTAAGATTTATTGCTAAAGTTTCTAACGTTTAACTGGTCAGTTCAGGAAGTACTTAAGTCTTCAATTAATTAAAGAATAAAACGCATTCCACACATTTT